AGATCTGTTAGTTCTTTTAACAGTCCATGGTACTTTCAGCATTCTTCACCAGCACCACAACTCAAGAGCATCAATTCTTCTTCAGTCTTCCTTATTCATTGCTCAGCTCTTTGAGCTTTAGCCTTGGGCAAATGCTCCCCTTTTGATCTCATGTGTGCTTGGTTGCTTTAAGGAGTATGTACCTCCCTGGTGTTATTGTTCACCTGAAAGTCCTGCCTATTGTTTGGCTGAAAGGTGAGCCACAAGGCTGAGTTTGATTCAGTGCTTGAAGATTTTGTAAGGGCCATAGTCTCAGGGGTTCAACCGTCTCTATCAGACCAGTAACCCTCTTCTTTTTTGTATTATTATTTTTAGTTTTGCTCCACATTTTTCTCCTACTCTATCCAGAACCTCCTATAATGATCCCTTTCAGAGCAGTTAGCAGTGGTAGCCAGGCACCATCTAGTTTTTCTAGTCTCAGGATCATAGAGGATGGAGTTCACATGGTGTGTTAGACATTTGGACTGCTTGTTTTCATGTATCTTTGATTTTCTTCACTCTTCTTTGCTCCAGACAGGGACAGATCAATAGCTACACCTTAAATAGCTGCTCACAAGCTTTTAAGACCCAGTCACTACTCACCAAAGTATAATATGGAACATTGTCTTTGTGGACTATGTTATGCCAATACCTTGATATGACACGGGGCTATAGTCCTGAGCTCCAAGACCCACAGTCAAAACACTCTTTAGGAAACACTGAATCATTCTGTAATTATGCTCCAGGGTTAAACTGCATACATAATAAAATAATAATGCATTTCTATTTAAATTTAGAGGGTATTGAAAAATATAAATTAAGGACTTATTCTAGTCCACAGCCATGGCAATGATAATAGAATTGTGTCTCAAAATAGAGTATTGTTTACTATTTCTTCGACAGTTTATAGTGTTCTTGTGCTGAGATTAATAAATAACCTCAGAAATCAATGTGTTAGCCATTCACTGAAAAACACTTAAACCCAAGATGTTAAAATGAAGAATGAAGTATACTAGTCAGATTTCCTTGAGTCATATATTACAATTGGGACATCAGGAACTGGGAGCCCTTAAACATTTCCATTCAACAGGCATTTAATCCCTAGTAATATTTATAATCTAAGAATAGAAGTTGAGCAGTACTTGCACAATTTTATAGACCATCTCCAGGATACTCTTTGTAGGCAAGAGAACAGACAATCTCAAGAGGTCATAAGTCATAACATTCTGCTTGTTTATCTTCATTTCAGACACATAGATCATGTACCTGAAACTGACATTATTACCATGTAAAGTAATACAAAAAAGTGTAGCCCTTGCTTCCAAACTAAAGCTATTTCTTAGGACCATGTACTAAAGCTGAAAAGGAAAAGGGCTGACTTTTTTTTTTTTTTTTTCCTCATGGCCAAGAATTTTAACATAGATTTAGGATAAGAAGAAGATAGGATATAAGGACAACAAAATAGGAGAATTGTCCACTGGCAGTTAATTGTTTGAAGTGTCACCCAAATCTTGGTTACAAATACGGTTCTATCTGCATTGTCATAGACATGCATGTGTACACACATATATATAAATCCAAAGGTTCCTACTCAACATCTTCAGTAGAAAAGAATTTATTATATCTCTAAAAATCTTCTCTCGGAGTTAATATGGAATTGTGGAAACAGAAACTTACTTGTTCCTTGGGAAATCCAAGACAGAGACCTTTCTGAGAGTGATCTGAAGCTAGGTTTGATTAGATCTTCCACAGTGACTGCTGCTAAGGCATTAATACTGGAGGACACTGTGCTGTAAGGGAAAACAAAGCTTTTAATTTATAATATTTTAACCTCAAGAACACTTAAGAGGGAAATTACTTTGAGACAAGAAGAAATGGATGTGCCCAGCTACCATTACTGAACTGAAGGATCCAATAGATGAATGCTGGTTAAAAGGTAGAAAAGAACTTCAGACTCACGTGGAAACCAAACTTACTGGATCCGTTGAACTGGAGAAAAGCCTGACTCTAGTTCCTGGAAATAATCTTTAAACTTTGAACCAAAACTGCCTCATGAAGCCATTGTTAAACTAAAGACTGGTTCACCAGTTTAGCCTAATTAATAAAGAATGTTTGCCTTGAGCATTGTTGTTACTGTTGTTAGGTGCTGTAGAGTTGGCTCTAACTCATAGTGACACTCCGTACAACAGAACAAACACTGCCCAGTCCTGTGCCATCCTCACAATATTTGCTGTGCTTAAGCCCATCACCACAGCCACTGTGTCAATCCATCTCATTGAGGGTCTTCTCCTTTTTTGCTGACCCTCTACTTTACCAAGCATGACATCCTTCTCCAGGGACTGGTCCCTTCTGACAACATGACCAAAGTATGTGAGATGATATCTGGCCATTCTCACTTCTAAGGAGCATTCCAGCTACACTTTTTCCAAGACAGATTTATTTGTTCTTTTGGCAGTCCATGGTGTTTTCAGTATTCTTCACCAAGACCACAATTGAAATGCATAAATTCTTCGATCTTCCTTGTTCATTGTCTAGCTTTCACATGCATATGAGCATAGTGCTCTTGTAAAGAATTATCTATATGAGTGCAAACTGCTAACAGTCCATCTAAAGCACAGATGAGAACTTAAAGGGGAAAAGAGCCTAACTTATGTTGTTGAAGCAATAGGCATAGAAATAGAATGGTGATACAATGTGAAATACAGAACCAATGGTTTTTTAATTGTTCCCGCAGAAATTATGAGTGGATAAATGTTTGGTTGTGTATATAGCCCACAAAAACAAATAAAATATTAAAAAAAAAAAAAAAACCACTTAAAAGATAATGAGAAGGGGGAAAACAAACTGTCAGCATCAAGAGATAACCAGATTTCTACTATGTTATTATTAAAGATCACAGTGTAGTCTTCCTGGAAACTGATGTCATCCAAGGATGATTCAGGCAACATCTTGATGGTAAAAGATAAAAGATAATTTAATGTTGCTTCCATTTTGCAGTTAATCCTTAGTGTCTATGGAAAGAGTCTAGTCTGTAGGATGAATCCATCAGATTACTCAGTATGATTATATAGCAACTTTAATTATAGTTTTCTTTGTGCATAGAAAGGACTGCCATAAACCCTGACTAAAATATGTCATGTTGTTGTTGTTGCTGTTATGTGCCGTCGACTCGGCCCCAACTCATAGCGACCCCTCCTTGGGTTTCCGAAGCAGTGTCACTACAGAAGTAGGATTGCCCAACCTTCCTTCCGAGGAGTGGCTGGTGGGTTTGAACCACCAGCCTTCTGGTTAGCAGTCAAGTGCCTCGGGACTATGCTACCAGAGCTCCTAAAATATGTCATAGCTATCAATAACATCAATAGCCTGGGCCTCACTAACATATGTTGTAAATATTGATAATAATAACTATCAACAGGAAGGAATGTATTAAGTGCAATGAATAAGTTTAATCACAAAACACAAGATTCTTTGGATGCTGTATATGACTCAGTATGTAAATAGGAGAGTTAATTCTATTTTTCCAGTTGACCATGCTTTAGCCACACACACATTTTAAACAAAAACTTTAGGCACCCATTTTGATAATCAATGAAAGTTATTCTCAACTGATCATCATTATTGTGACCCTAGACAGCAGACACCTAGTTAAAAGTGGAGCCTGAATACAACAGGATCCTAGCCTATAGATAAGACACAGACCAACAGGGAGACTACGTGGGGTAGATGGTCTATTTTGAGTCTCCAGAATTCATTCTTTGAAAAAATCTGTTATGGATGGATTTGTGTTCCCAAAATATGTGTTGTAAATCATAAACTTTTATACTTACGGATGTAATCTCAGTTGGGAATAGGACTTTCTTTGCTATGTTAATGAGACCTCAGTGAAGGGTATGTTTCAAATCAACCACCTCTGAGATATAAACCAAGCTGACTAGGCACAGAGAAGGAAGCACAAATGGAGGGAAAGATACATGCCACATGCAGATCGCCAGGTGACTGAGGAACAGAAGCTGAAAAGAGACAAGGACTTCCCCGAGAACCAACAGAGGGAAAAGCCTTCTCTTCGAGCTGGCACTCTCATTTGGACTTCTAGCCTCCTAAGCTGTGAGAAAATAAAGTCTGTTCATAAAACCACCCACCTGAGATATTCCTGTTATAGCAGTACCAAGAAGCAATAAAAAAAGAAAGATCCCAATAGCAAAAGCACTACAGCTGCGGTTCATACCTGAGTGTTCCACTGTAAGCACAGGCCACAAAGAGTCCAGGAAGTCCTGGATAGTCTTGCAGAATGTCCAACACCATATAAGGCATGAGCTGAAAAATTCCAAAATTTACTTCCAAGTCCTATTTGCTATTGAATACAATTAATTAATACCTTTATCTCATATTCGTTGAGAACAAAAGGGAGCTATTCCACATAACTGAAATTTCCAAATACCAAAAATTCAACTCTTCAACCAGTAACATTTACAGAAACGAAGAGCACAGTGGTTGGGGTACAATCTTTGGAAATTCTGTTACTTAAATTCTCTCAGCTTCAGTTTCTCATCTGTAAAACAGGCACAATACACCAATATTTCCTTAGAACTGCTATAAATGTTAAGGTCAATAATGTATACAAAGCATCTATATTGTATGGGGTATAGTAAACAGCTAAAGCTGGCTCTTATAATTCTTTGGAATAATAAATCCTTTTTAAGGGAGTATTTTACATACCTCTATGCTTAAGTAAGGAGCTCTGGTAGCATAGTGCCTAAGGCACTTGACTGCTAACCAGGAGGCTGGCGGTTCAAACCCACCAGCCGCTCCTCAGAAGGAAGGTTGGGCATTCCTACTTCCGTAGTGATACTGCCTCGGAAACCCAAAGAGGGGTCGCTATGAGTCGGGGCCGACTTGATGGAAAATAACAACAACAACAACAATGCTTAAGTAAAGGCTGGTGGTTCAAACCTACCAGCCACTCCTCGGAAGGAAGATGGGGCAATCTACTTCCGTAGTGATAATGCCTTGGAAACCCAAAGAGGGGTCACTATAAGTCGGGTCCGACTCCACGGCACATAACAACAACAACATGCTTAAGTAAACAGCAGTTACTTGATTTAAAATTTACTTGATACCTAAAGGCCACCTTCATAAACTCTTCTCATGGTTCAAGACTGGTGACATAATTATAGTTGTATATAGTGTGAGGCAAGAGCTCTGGTATCATAGTGCCTAAGGCGCTTAGCTGCTAATCAGAAGGCTGGCGGTTCAAACCCACCAGCCACTCCTTGGAAGGAAGGTTAGGCAATCTACTTCTGTAGTGATATTGCCTTGCAAACCCAAGGAGAGTTCACTATGAGTCAGGTCCGACTCGTTGGCACATAACAACAACATAGTGTGAGACATGGTGAAGAGTGGCGAGTGACTGCAGGAAAACCCAGAAACTTGCTTGTCTTTACAAAGTTCCAAATACCAACTTGCTTTTTGAATATTTCTTTAAAATAAATACTAAATGAAGGGTGGGCAGGTGTGTGACTTCAGGACTATGTTACATGGCAATTTTTCTGAAAAATTAATATTTTAATCAAGAGTCCCAAGCAGACAATTTTCCATAAAAGCATCCTCTCATTGGCATCGAAGCATTATTGATTGTTTTCCCACAGCGCTCAGTGGATGGCACACCCTATGTTATGAGCTTCCTCGGCCTATTTGATTTCACTTAACAATATGGACTATAAAAGAGCACCCTCCACTGTCGCAGGGATCTGTGTCGGGCTGTCTTGAGAGTGCCTTCTCAGCTTGCTCCAAAACTTACTGATTCTTTATCCTCAGAGAAAGGGAACATCACATCTCCTCATACAAGGTCAAGATCCAAATTTCCCAGGATGTTTTAAAAGTTCAAGCAGTATTAAAACTTTAAGAAGAATTCCATACAAAAGCAATATTAAGGTTTCCATCATTAGTATTATAATGAGATCCAAAATCCTCCACCAGGTCTCAAATTTCTCAAAAGTCTTCAGCATAATATTTCATAGTGTGGATGGCCCCCACATGTATGTTGTTGTTGTTAGGTGCCATTGAATTCCTCCCAACTCATAGCGAGCCCATGTACAACAAAACGAAATACTGCCCAGCTGTGACAAGAGTCCTGCCCAGTCCTCACAATTATCGCCCTGCATAAACCCATTGTTGCAGCCACTGTGTCAATCCATCATGTATAAGCAACATCAGTGAGGTAAGTTTAAGTGGCAGGAAAATAGCACAAGTCTAGCTAGGCACTAACCCTTCTTTTTCAGGGTGAGCGCCAGTAGAGTGTAACAGAAACATCTTTGCTCTCCTCAGGATAAAACCCAGGGCTTTGACCCAATCTCCTATGCACTGTCTCATTTGCATTTCCATCCCCAGTAAAATGTTAATTAAATTAATTGGTTAACTAACAACACAAGACTGGAACCATCCAGTTAGGAGGAAAGTCTTTGGAAAATTTAATGTCTACTCTCAAAGTGATACAGGCCTCTGGGCAACACAGCTTGAATGCACTCTAGGACAAAGATTCTCAAGGGGAGGACTTCATAAGGATTTTTTGTGCCAAGAATGTTGTTATTAGGTGCTATCAAGTCAGTTCCAGCTCATAGTGACACTATGTACAACAGAATGAAGCACTGCCCGGTCTAGCCCAGAGTAGGGGAAATGCATATTAGAAGTATGTTTTTAAATCTCTATTGTCTTCACAATATACACTACTGACAGTTGTTGTTGTTATGTGCCATCGAGTCGGACCCCACTCATAGCGACCTCTCCTTGGGTTTCCGAGGCGGTATCACTACAGAAGTAGATTGCCCAACCTTCCTTCTGAGGAGTGGCTGGTGGGTTTGAACTGACAATATAAACTGATAAAAATCACAAAATAGTCTTGATTAGAGGGAATGGAATATAACAGAAGAGTGTTTCTACCTGTGGAGTAAACATGATTCTTGGATTCACTGAGAGTGTAGGAAGGCTGTGTCTATCAGAAAGAGGGCATAGGTTAAGATAGAGTTGAGAAACACAGCTCAATGATGTTCTCATTTCTAATCCCCTCAAACTGTATTTTTCTGGGACTGTGTGATGCATTCTCACTGCCACGTATTCGGTCTGATCAGTGCCCAGGGCGCTGGATTTACAAGGAAGTCTTAGAAAATAATTTTGGCAAGAATGCTGAGAACAAGAGCTTGGACTTTAGAGTCAAGTAGTCCTGGATCTGAATTCTAGTTACTCCTTTTGAAAGACAGAGACCCCAGTTCTGTTCCCAGCCAACGAACCTCATGCCCAGCTACCACCCACCTGTCAGCAGAAGATTGCATGATGTGATGAGGCTGAACAGGTTTCAGCAGAGCTCCCAGAGTGAGATGCATTAGGAAAAAGGCCTGATGATCTATTTCCAAAAATCAGCCAATGAAAACCCTATGGATCACAACTAGGCAATTGACAGGACCGGGCAGCATTTAGTTCAGTTGTGCATGGGGTCAACACGAATCAGGGCCAACTCTACGGCAGCTAACAACAATATGGCGTGGAGTTTCGGAGTGAGGACTCTGATGACAGCCTGCCTGGGTTTGAATTCTGGCTCCAAACTTACTAGCTGGTTACTCATATCCCACTAATTTAACCTGTGTGTGCCTCTGTTTCCTCACCCCTATAAAGGGGGTAATAATAATACCTACCTCAGAGGGTAGCTGTGAGGATTAAAATTTGAAATTTATATAAAGCACTTACAATACTGCCTGGCACATACTATTTTTATAGTGTTAGCAATTCTTCATATTTACTTGATATGTGACCTAAGGCAAGTTATACAACCTTTGTGAGATTCGTTTCCTCATCTATAAAATGTGAATTACAGGGTTGTGCAATAAAGCACACAAAGCTCTTTCCACAGAATCACACAGTTGGTGCTCAATAAATGTTCACTTATTAGATCCGTTTCTCCGTCAGTTTCAAACTGTTGGAAAGATAAATGGCTCATAAATAAGCAATCAAACAGCAGCTTTCGCATGTTCCCTAGTTTTCTGGTGTGTCTGTAAGTTATTTTTCTTTTAACTGTGTTTACACTTACACCCAGCCTTGAGATATTTCTATTTAAGGACATCTGGCTTGAAATGTTTCTACGTATGTAAATATTTTAATTTTTTAACAGAATTATTTACTCTCTCTAGCCCACGTCCGTTGCTGTCCAGTTAATTCTGACTCATGGTGACCCCATGTCAGAGTAGAACTGTTCCATAGAGTTTTCTTGGCTTTAAACTTTAAGAAAGCAGATTTCCAGGACTTTCTTCTGCAGTTCTGAGTGGGCTCTAACTGCCAGGTTTTGGGTTAGTTGTTATGTGCCATCAAGTCGTCCCTGACTCATAGCGACCCCTCCTTGGGTTTCCGAGGCAGTATCACTACAGAAGTAGATTGCGCAACCTTCCTTCTGAGGAGTGGCTGGTGGGTTTGAACCACCAGCCTTCTGGTTAGCTGTCAAGTGCCTTAGGCACTACACTAGTAGTTGAGTACACACCACTTGCCCCCTCAGGGACCTCTTCACTCTTGCTGATGTCTGCTAAAATAAAATTTTGCCAAATGCTTTATAGAAATTAAAGATGATTGTATTGTGCCATTTGCTGTTTTCTATCTCCTCCCAAGTAACAGTGAGATGATTTCTTCTTGAAGGTCATGAATGCATGTGTAAGAAAGCCGTGGTACTGAACCTGGTCTGGTGCAGACACTTTCTTGGCTGTCCAAGGATCACAGTCATGGTACCTGGAATATAGGGCAAGCCCACAAAACACTGAGCAGATGAGGATTGCCCAGAGCCCCACGAGATTGACGTAGAGAGACCTACAGAGGCAAAAACAAACCAGCAAACGGTAGTTGTAATCACTATCCCAAAGATTAGGAAAATTGTTACATGAACAGAAAAGACTTTCACGATGATATTAGTATACACATTAAATAAATGCACATTGTCTTTCCATTATCAAAACACCATTTATTCTGGTCTAATCTGCTGCTAATGATGTCAATCAACAATGTTTTGGGAAATATTTGTAATAGAGGGAGTTTTCCCACTGAATGAGTGAATCCTCTGGTCAGAGTTCCAAGAGTACTACTGTTAGCTTCATAATTGTGCCTAATTGGAATGTTCCGTGTCTTCCTGTCTTGAAGTATGGATTTTTTGTAATCAACAGAGCAATAGCTATTAGTCATTTTCCTTTTAAAAATAATACAATGACAAACTCCTAAATATTAGAATCTATATAACAACTCAACAACCTTGTTATAAGTATGGTTTATAAGACCATCCATTAAGTAGGAAAAGTAAACATGTATTCCTTAGACAGAAATCTTCTCAATGTTCAGTGTCACCATGTACAATATGTGCTCCACTGTAGCATGAGGTTAAATATCACTGCAGGGACCCCTCCCTGGCGAAGGCTATCATGCTTGGTAAAACAGAGGGTCAGCAAAAAAGGGGAAGACTCTCAACAAGATGGATTGACACAGCGGCTGCCATAATGGGCCCAAGCACAGCCAGGATTGTGAGAATAACGTAGGACCAGGCTGTGTTTCATTCTATTGTACATGCATAGAGCCAACCCGACAGCATCACTGGAATCAGAACTGAGTACAAATCCTGGCTCTACTATATGTAACCCTAAGCAAGTAATCTAGCCTCTCCAATCCCCAGTTTCTTTGATTACACCTGGGGATAACAATGTCTCCCTCATTCCAATTAGGCACAAATGAAACAGTACAGATCCTACAGCAAAGTGTTTGGTAATGTTGTTGTTAGCTGCCTGGAGTCAGCCCTCAGTTCGGTTAGCCGTGCACAATGGGACAAAACACTGCCTGGTCCTGCACAGTGCCCATGATCAGCTGCCGATTGGACCAGTGTGATTGATCCACAGGGAACAGACACATGATATCAGGTAGTTACTGATATTGATATCATTGAATGCTGGATCTCAATAATCAGTTGAGTAGTGAACAGTGCTCTCACTAAAGGGGCTACATTTTTGTCTTAATGGTGCTATAGTGGACACTGAGATGAGCCACCCTAGGTTGAAGAGAGGTCCCATTCCAACAGTCATGCTTCTCTTCCCCTGTGACTGGTGGAAGTAAGAGTATAAAGCCCTCTGACCCCAATGTGACAGACGACAAAAGAGTCACCCCAACTTCCGAGCTCCCTGAAGAAGTCAGCTGAGGCCTTTGCTGCAACTGAATTGCAGTCTACCTCCTCCCTCTACTCAATCTTGCTTCCTTCACTTTCCTTCCAAGTTGTTGATTCCCTAATAAACTCCTGCACTGCCAGCCCCACTCTTAGAGCCTGCTTCCTGGAGAACCCACTCTGGAACAGGTGCCATGGTTACTTAGATGCACAATCCATGTTTATTTATTTGTTAAGATTTTCTTGTACTTAATAAGGCTTATAAATATTTTTTAAGTATCTGATCCAAAACATACAGTACCACTTTACTCTACATGAGCCTTCTGTAACTAAACATATCACTTGTCTTTGAATTTCATGATCCAAAAGACTTAAACTTGAGATAAACTTGACTTATGAAAGTATTTTCATAAAGGTAAATGGTGGTTATTAATGATTCACACACCATAATTTGGCTTACATTTTTGCATGGAATCTGCTTTTACAGGAAATATATCTCTGCACCTGGGATTGGTTGACGCCATAGATGCTGGTCCATGTGAAAGTCCCTCCTATAATGATTGTCCAGAATGTGTGTCTTTGCAGAGGGTTAGGATCAAAACTAAATGGAAAGAAACAGAAAACAAAATCTAAACTGTCAGCAAAAAAACTACAGCAAACCCTCCTATAAATTTTTGTAAGCAAACAATGTATATACATATATATGGATGTATACCCAAAAAATCCATTGTTCTTGAGTTGATTCCGACTCAGAGCAACCCTGTAGGACAGAGTAGAACTGCCCCACAGAGTTTCCAAGGCTGTATGTACATCTTTATGAAAGCAGACTGGCACACCTTTCTCCCACAGAGTGGCTGGTGAGTTGGAACCATTGACCTTTTGGCTAGCAGCCAAGTGCTTTAACCACTGTACCACCATAGCACCTTTGGTTATATACATACTTACTTGTTTGTTTGTTTGTTTTTTCATATAGAACTAAAAAACAAACTCACTGCCATTGAGTCAATTCTGACTCATAGTGACATCCAGTGGACTTCCAAGACTGTAAATCTTTACAGAAGTAGACTGCTTCATCTTTCTTTTATGGAGCACCTAGTGGATTCAAACCACTGACTTTTGGTTAGCAGCCAAATGCCTTAACCACTGTACCACCAGACCTCCTTTTTATATAAACCCAAACTTATTACCATCAAGTCAATTCTGACTCATAGTGACCCCCATTGAGTTTCCAAGGCTGTAAATCTTTAAGGAAGTAGACTACTCAATCTTTCTTTCATGGAGTGGCTAGTGGGTTCCAACTGCCAACCTTCTGGTTAGCAGCCAAATGCCTTAACCACTACTCCACCAGCTGTTGTTGTTAGGTGCCTTCAAGTCAGCTCTGACTCATGGCAACCTTATGTACAAAAGAACAAAACACTGCCTGGTCCTGTGCCATCCTCACAATCCTTGCTGTACCTGAGCCCATTGTTGCAGCCACTGTGTCAATCCATCTTGTTGAGGGTCTTCCCCTTTTACATTGACCCTCCACGTTACGAAGCATGATATCCTTCTCCAGGGAATGGTCCCTTCTGACAACATGACCAAAGTAGGTGAGATGAAGTTTGGTCATGCTCACTTCCAAGGAGCATTATGGCTGCACTTCTTCCAGGATAGCTTTGTTAGTTCTTTTAGCAGTTCATAGTACTTTCAGCATTCTTCACCAATTCAAAAGCATCAACTCTTCTTCGGTCTTCCTTATTCACTGTCCAGCTCTCACACTGAAAATACTATGGCTTGGGTTAGGCACACCTTAGTCTTCAAGGAGGCATCTTTGCTCCTCAGCACTTGAATGAGGTCTTTTGCAGCAGATTTGCCCAATGCAATACATCATCTGATGTCTTGACTGATGCTTCCATTGGTGTTGATTGTAGAACCAAGTAATATGAAGTCTTTGGCAACTTCAATCTTTTCTCCATTTATCATGATGCTGCTTATTGGTCCAGTTGTAAGGATTATTGTTTTCTTTATACTGAGGTGTAATCCATACTGCAGACTGTAGTCTTTTATCTTCATCAGTAAGTGCTTCAAGTCATCCTCACTTTCAGCAAGCAAAGTTGTGTCGTCTGAGTATTGCAGGTTGTTAATGAGTCTTTCTCCAATCCTGATACCACGTACTTCTTCATATAGTCCAGCTTCTCAGATTATTTGCTCAGCATACAGATTGAATAAGTATAGTGAAAGGATATAACCCTGATGCACTCCCTTCTTGATTTTAAACCAGAGCTCCTTATTTATACAAAAGGTATAAATATTTCCAAAATAAGTTCAATGAAATAGAAAATTGACCCTTTCAGATATTTTGGAATTCTATATGAGATTTTGGGAAAATAATGTTCTAATCATCCTGAATGCTTGTATAAATCCTAGGAGCTCTGGTGGTGCAATGCCTAAGACATCTGACTGCTAACCATAAAGTTTGTGAATCAAACCCACCAGCTGCTCCATGGAAGGAAGATAGGGCAATCTACTTCCATAAAGATTTCCTGACTTAGAAACCCAATGGGGGTCGCTATGAGGTGGAATGGACTTGATGGCTGTGGGTATATAAATCCTTCACCCATTACCTTAGCAAATGGTTTCAACAAGTCTGCCATGCCATAATAGAGAGAGGAGAATAAGACTGAAAGGGAGAGAAAGACAGATAGACATAGAGTACTAAACTCCTAAGCACACCTCAGCAATAGATACAATATTGGAATGAGCACAAAATTGATCCATTTTGTGCATCTAATTCCACTGCAGAGCAAATTTTTTGTCCTCTATATTCTCAAAGCATATGAGAATAATAAGGGGTACATTTGAAAATCTGAAGTACAATAAGGCTTTTCCTTATTACTTAATGGTTGATAAACTTCAAAGTAAAGATCATAAAAACAAAAGTGTCTAATCTTTTACTTTTTAGAATATCTTATTGATATATAAGCTACTGCTTCAATGCTGCAATACATGCTATCCCTTGTGTAAAGTGACGATCACTTTGCAGAAAATGCATCTTACAGAAAAATGATTGGCTCTACACCATCTCTCCTGAGCCCAGTTACTGGGAGAAGATTCAGGATTAATCAAGTTCCCCTCAGTGGCTACTAGTCCTTTCTGTTTCCTAGTACCCATTTCCCCTTCTCTAGTAACAGCAACCCAGATTGCTTCAGGGAAACTACCACTTCTCCATTAAATGGTCTGAAAGTCTGTCAATCAAATTGTCCTGCTATATCCTAACCAAGGAATGGAAAACATGGCCCAAGCAGGCCAATTTGTTTGCTCTTTTCCTTGAAATCCGAATCTTGAAGCAAAAAAAAAAAAATGATTTAAAAGAAAATAGTTGAAGTTGATTCATTGCAAAGCATGTCTGTAAATGAACACACTGACCCTGCCAATTTTACAAAAAGCTCTCAAACTGGATGCCTATTTGCAAAAGACAAGATGAGAGCCACCAAAAGCAAACTGGTTTCCTATCTTCTTGCCGATGGCCTCAGCTTTTCGGCCTCAAAGTGGGGCTGCTTAAAGCAAAAATAAGCCGATCCAGATCAAAGTTAGCCTCTCTCCACACTGAACCTGATGAACAAGGATGACACTATTGATCCAAAAGGGAAGGCATTTTAAATAATATTTAAATTTTGGTGGTAGATTTGGGGCAAAAGATCTAGTTTGTCCACTGGTCTTTCTTTAGGAATACTGAACAGCTATTTAAGACATTTCCTCTCACTGTGACATCATGTGGCATATTACATCATGTCACATCTTGCGGCATCAACCGTAACTTTTCTAGCCAAGTTTCTGGGAGTAATATATGTTACAGTACATACCAAACCCATTGCCATCGAGTTGATTCTGACTCGCAATGATGCTAAAGGACAGAGTAGAATAGCTCCATGGGTTTTCAGGGCTGTAATCTTTACGGGAGCAGAGTGCCACATCCTTCTGTGGAGCAGCTGGTGGGTTCAAACTGCAGACCCATTGGTTAGCAGCTGAGCATTTAACCACTGTGCCTCCAGGGATCCTTTATTATAAAAAACCAAAACCCAAACCAAGCTCACTGCTTTCAAGTCGATTCCTACTC